AATTCCAAAAGGACCGTAACTGGTAGTTGTTTTATTCAACTCCTTGCTTATGCACATACGCTTATAAATTTTATACCCCGTCTTTTTGTAATGTTCGTCATCAAGCTCATATGTATCAGAATCACAGACAATACACAGATGTTTATAAATTTCATCCCGTGGCACATCATACTTGTTGTGAAGTTCGTCAACAAGCTCACATACTTCAAATTTCTTTGCGATGTCCAATTCAACTTTAGCGATAACAAATAAAATAATCACCAAATATGTTCTCATAATTTTTATTAACTTTACATTCGAACTTTACTAATAAAACTGAAAGTTTTCGTTCTTCTCATTCTATTTTTATGCTGAAAGATTAAAAAGTGAGGGACATTGATTATAAGTTTTGAGTGAAAAAAAGTTTAAACATCTCTCGCTGTTATGAAAAATTGAATTCGGTTGAACCTTAACACGACGAGAGATAAGCTCAGTAGATAGAATTTGTACGTCAAATTTCTAATTAGAAAATGCAATTCTGAAGATGGAATGTACCAATTCCAATATGATTACGCATTTCCTGTTATCAAAATGCGCAATTGGAATTGGGATGTGCATTTTCTAAGTGGATTGCGCAGTTTTCACATTCGTCTTGGAAATAACACATTGCATTCTGATGGAAGTAAAAATTTAACAAGAAATTTTCTTTTGTTAGAATGCACGAAACCCAATTGGATTGCACATGCACTCAATAAAATACTCAATAAAATATCTGAAAAGTCGGAGTATCAGTTAACGACAGAAGTAAATGGATTAGAATAATGATTAAAATAAGTTGCAAGACAGAATTAGTACAAATGGAAGAATAAAAAATGCTCCATGAAAGTTTGTTGCTTTTGAAATCTGATCGTGATTTTCACTAGAATCATCCCAACATTATTAAAAAATTCTTTAATAAATGCACAATGAAGAGATTATTTAGCTAAATTTAATTGAAATTTAACAATGCAATGGCAAGAAAAGTTATCAGTGAAAAAATTTTCATTTTGTAAAATAATTTAAATGGCTTTCAAATTGAATTTCATATGAAATTGAAAGTTACTCTCTTGATTAAAAATTTTATTTGAAAATTGAACTTTGAAAACTTCTTTAATTTCTGAGTTATGCAAATAATCTGAGCTTCTCTCTCAATCTCAAAAATTTTAAATATTTTACTTGATCTTTAACATAAAGTGAGATTATGTCTGATTATTTGGATATTGTGAATTAGTTATAGAAAATTTTTGCTGTAAAAACGACTGAAACGAGTCATGATAAAGAAAAGAAAATTCAACAAATTTTATTTCAAACAATTCAATTTTAAAATATTTTAATACAAGAAAATAATGCAAATGAAAGAATAGTAAAATGTGTGCCTAAGAAAGAATTTGTTGTTGCTACTGCCGAACTTGCATAATGAGTGTGATTCATAAAATCGCCATATTCATCAATATCGTAAGAATTACCGAAACTTTTAGATGTTTCTTCAACACGTTCCAAACAAGTGTCAACTTCTTTCTTATAACCTTCGCAATTTCGATCTGATAATAACCATGCATCAATCCCTTCATGTTGTAATACTAGAGTAGCACATTCGACATCGTCAGCAATGTCATCATCAACGAAATCATCGCATGAAGCATTACAGATACCGTCATATTCTGCACACCAGTAATATTTTATTCTATAAATTCCATATTCTTCATGAGTAGTTTCCTTAACTATACACAGATGCTTATAAATTTCATCCCGTGGCACATCATACTTGTTGTAAAGTTCGTCAACAAGCTCACATACTTCATATTCCCTTGCGAAATTCAATTCAAGTTTAGCGATAGCAAATAAAATGATCAACAAATATGTTCTCATAATTTCTATTAACTTTACATTCGAACTTTACTAATAAGACTGAAAGTTTTCGTTTTCGTCTTCTATTTCTATGCTGAAAGATTAAAAATTGAGCGGTTTTAGTCAAAACATTGAGTAAAAAAATTTAAACATCTCTCGCTGTCATGAAAAAATTAATTCGGTTGAACTTTAACACAACGAGAGATAAGCTTTGAGTCAAAGCCTTTGACGATAACTTTTGATTTTAGCAAATTCGCTTTACTTAATTAGATATATAAAAAGACAAAGTATATCACTTAACGTAAGTAAATCAAATTTTATTAGAAATAATTCAATTTAAATCATTCTTAAAGACAAAAGTAGTACAAATGGAAGAATAAAATATCCTCCATGAAAGTTTGTTGCTTTTGAAATCTGATCGTGATCTTCATTAGAATCATCCCAAGTTTCCGATTCTTTGTATTCATCCAAACATGTTTCAACCACATGCTTAAATATGTAATTACATCGTGCTTCTGTTTGACTCCAAGCTTCGACACCTTGAATATTAAAAATTTTAGAAGCACAAACAGCATCATCAGCGATGTTATGATCAGAAAGTTTTTCGCATTTTCCGGAGGGCTCATATTTTCCACAACACCATTTACTTGATATTCTATAAATTTCATGAGAATCCAGATAAGTTCTTGTCGTTTCTCTTGTTACCATTGCAATGCACAAATATTTATAAATTTCATCTCTTGGTAGGTACTTTAATCTAGTTATACAATTCTTTTATAAATGCACAATGAAGAGATTATTTAGCTAAACTTAATTGAAATTTAACAATGACAAGAAAAGTTATCACTAAGAGAATTTTCAGTTTGTGAAATAATTTCAAATGCTTTCAAATTGAATTTCAAATGAAACTGAAAGTTGCTCTCTTGATTAAATATTTAATTTAAAACTGGAACATGGAAAACTTCTTTAAGATTTGAGATACGCAAATAATTTGAGCTTCTCTCTCATTCTCAAAAATTTTAAATATTTTACTTGAACTTCAACTTAAAGTGAGATCATGTCTGATTATTTTAATATTGTGAATAAGTTATGGAAAATTGTTGCTGTAAAAACGACTGAAACGAGTCATGATAAAGAAAAGAAAATTCAACAAATTTTATTTCAAACAATTCAATTTTANTTAATGTAAAAAAATAATGCAAATGAAAGAATAGTAAAATGTGTGCCTAAGAAAGAATTTGTTGTTGCTACTGCCGAACTTGCATAATGAGTGTGATTCATAAAATCGCCATATTCATCATAATCGTAAGAATTACCAAAACTTTTAGATGTTTCTTTACCACTTTCTAAGCAAGTGTAAACTTCTTCCTTATAACCTTCACAATTTCGATCTGTTAACTTCCATGCACCAATCCCTTGTTGTTGCAATAATAGAGCAGCACATTCGACATCGTCAGCAATGTCATCATCAACGAAATCTTCACACGGAACATTGCAGATACCGATCCCATTTTCTCCACACCACCAAATTGCTATTTTAAAAATTCCAAAAGGACCGTAACGGCTAGTTGGTTCAGTCAACTCCTTGCTTATGCACATACGCTTATAAATTTTATACCCCGTCTTTTTGTAATGTTCGTCATCAAGCTCATATGTATCAGAATCACAGACAATACACAGATGCTCATAAACTTCATCCCGTGGCACATTATACTTGTTGTGAAGTTCGTCAACAAGCTCACATATTTCAAATTCCCTTGCGATGTCCAATTCAACTTTAGCGATAACAAATAAAATGATCACCAAATATGTTCTCATAATTTTTATTAACTTTACATTCGAACTTTACTAATAAAACTGAAAGTTTTCGTTCTCTTCGATCTGATTTTTAAGCCGAAAAAATAAAAAATGAGTGACATTAATCATAAGTTATGAATGCAAAAAAATTTAAACATCTCTCTCTGTCATGAAAAATTGAATTCGGTTGAACCTTAACACGACAAGTGATAAGCTTTGATGATAACTTTTTATTTTAGCAATTTCATCTTTCAATTTGTCTAACTATTGTTCAATTGTGCAAAACTTAGCAAAACAGTACTCAATAAAATATCTGAAAAGTCGGAGTATCAGTTAACGACAGAAGTGGATTAAAATGATGATTAAAATAATTTTCCATAAGAAAATAAATCAAATTTTATTAGAAATAATTCAATTTAAATCATTCTTAAAGACAAAAGTAGTACAAATGGAAGAATAAAAAATGCTCCATGAAAGTTTGCTGCTTTTGAAATCTGATCGTGATCTTCATTAGAATCATCCCAAGTTTCCGATTCTTTGTAATCTTCCAAACATGTTTCTACTTCATACTGTAATTTTTTACATTGTGCTTCTGTTTGACTCCAAGCTTCGACGCCTTGAATACTCAAAATTTTAGAAGCACAAACAGCATCATCAGCGATGTTATGATCAATAAGTTTTTCGCATTCTATTTCGCATTTTCCTGAAGGTTCATATTTTCCACACCACCATTTACTTGATATTCTATAAATTCCATGAGAGTCCAAATAGGTACTTGCCGTTTCACTTGTTACCATTGCAATGCACAAATGCTTATAAATTTCATCTCTGGGAATGTCAGCTTTGTAATAAAGTTCTTGAACAAATTCACATCTTGTAAATCTTTTTGCGAAATTCAATTGAATCATAGCGATGACAAGAAGAGTTATTAATAATTGTGCTTTCATGTTGATAAGCGACTTAAATATTGTGAGTTACTTTTCTTTGGAATCTTCTAATCAAACTGAAAGTTTTTGTTCTCTTGATTCTCAATTTATGCTTGAGAAATTTTAATTTATAAAAGACGCTCTTACTGATAGTATTCCAATGATTAACTTTAGATGAAATCGGACACAGAAAAGAGTGCAAAATGTTTTAGCTTCTCACGTTGACATGTATGAAAAAAAAAAAAGCTGAAAAATTATATGAAAAGTAGAATTGTCACTCAATAAATTAAGTCGTCGTCAGAAAACACAGAAAAAAAATTAAATGGAAGGAAAGTGAAATTCAATTTATTTGTGAAATTTATTTTTATAATTTTAATGATAATTTCAAAATTTATATAAGCAGAAAAATGAAATATAAATTTGAGTGATGCTTGAATTTTTAAACACATCTTGACGAGTATAAAATATGCTTTGCTTTTCACCAAAGAATTTATCGTGTGACTGAAGAAGACAATACTCAATATACCTAACGTCTGAAAAGTCGAAATATCACTTTACGAATACGTAGATATTTTATGTCAATTCCCCTAAAGTTTTTAAGGTTCAAATATGACGACATACTCGAACAACCAAACATGATGATCAACATGAGAAAATTCATATCTAAACAAATACCTAATTCACATCATTTAAAAGTCCAATTAAAGTAATGAATGAGAAGATTCGTGCATATTTAGAAGACCTTATGTCAAATCCTACGATGATTGTAATACCGACGTGGTCGACTTCAGTGTTCTATGTAATCTACATCTATGAAAAAAATTAAGAAAAATGAAAATCTTAAATATTTAGAATAGGTTATGACTCCGATAACACTAAAATTTTAGTCACGTTCCATTAATGAGTTTTTTTGTCTTTTTCATATTTTAGAAAAATAAAAATTCGAGGTCTTTGGAATAATTTTGATTTACATGAATATTTAATATATTCACATCAATTTAAATTAATATCTTCTTTTCAAAATTATAAAATACGATTATAAGTGGCACACTAAATTATAATTTATAGATTGATGGCCAAGTTTAAATAAATTACATTTCATTCATCTATTTATCTTAATAATGATTGAGAATATCTCACCTAATATTTTGCAGAAGAACAATTTTAATAGTTGGGCGAAGCTCCATTTAGAAATTTAGGTCAAGTTTTTTTCAACATCAAAAGACGTTCTTTGTAAATAAGAAATGAAACTTCTACAATAAAAAATGTTATTCAATTAACTTTTTATGGATGTCCGTCATTTGGAAGTATCAAAATTCATTCAACAATTTTTTCTTTCAACTCACCATGAAGCTTCTCTGACTGTTTCATATCTTCAAATTAGGTGCGATGATTTTATAGATATTATTGATTTACGGTAACAAATTAAGCAATCATTCATTATGATAATATTTTATTGATTTAGTATTTTGATTTGATAGCTTCCTGAAGATATTTCTTATTTAAAATAATATCAGATAATTATGGAATATTTATCTACTAAATTAGTCATTACATGAGCTTATGAAGCGTTTAAGCTTTAAAGAATTCATCAAGAAATGGAGGATTGTCTAATAAATTGATTTTGTTTCTTATGAAGTTTTTTTTAAAGTTTTACAATTTCTACCCTCAACGGAAGTTAGGAGTCGACCCTCTTTGGTGTTGGAAATAAATTAGAATTTTATTCGATTTCGTCATAAATAAATCATGTCACAATGTTTTTGAAAGTGTGAATTTTATGTCTCGGAAACAAAGTCAAGTATTTTATTTTATTCTTCGATAATTTATGCATGAATTTAGTAATCTGGTTATTTATTGCGGGAACTTTATCTATAGTTATAAGATTTTAAGACAGTTTTCAGCCAAACAATGAATTATCAAACATCCGAAACGTGTTTGATTATGCAGATGATTTTAAACATGAGATAAGCTGGTGTTGAAAATCGCTCAAAATTAGTCATAAAAAAACGTCTGAATAAGTTGCTTGATATTTTGTCTTTCTTTTGTTTTGATGTTGAAAGTTTTGATCTTTTGTTCGTCACAAAAATGTTACAATAAAAGTCACCAACATTTACTCTAATAATTTATGGCTTAAGCTATTAAAGGTGGAGTAGAACTCTTCAAAGTCTTAAGATAAACTTTTATGAATGTTTTTGAATTTTGCCATTTAAATAAAGAACTGGAATAAAAGTGATTGGTTCGATAATCAAACGCATTGAATCTTTAATCATGTAAATTCAATTGAAGTGTTTTGTGTAATGTCATGAAATTTTTCATTGCTTTATTTACACATTATAGGTATTTATCTTTCACATTTTCATCAAATTTTTAATGAATTTTAATGGTCATGAAAAATTTAATCTAAATAGATAAATCGTTCTGATAAATATTTATATTTTTTCATTAGCATTCTAAGACGCTTAAATCGGTAGCTTAGAATTCAAAAATCATCTAAATCATTAATGGAAGAAAAATTTAGAATAATTATAATTTCATGGATTTATTTAAATTGCTTGTCGGTTTCAATAAGCTAGATAGTCATCAAAATGCCAACTTTATTTGGATCTTTTAAAGAATTTAGAATTCGAAAGAACAAAAGTGAATTGACATTGATTCAGAAACAATTGCTATGAATATTGGAAGAACATAAAATTGTTGCTTTTTAAGTACTTCAAGTTCAGCATGCGTTGGGAACTCATCAGTTGATCTGAAATTATAATTAATAAAATTAAGATTTGAATGAAAATAACATTTAGAAATTCTTACTTAATAATTAAAATCCGATAGTTTGGCAAATCTACAGTTTTTTTAAAGTCCGCTCTTGGAATAAAAACATCAAATTTGAACTTGAGTTTCTTTTCAGAAGATTTTAAATCTTCAGCTCGTTTAATGAAACTAAATTTGAGGAAAATCTCTTCATACTTTTTGTATTCTGGTTCCCTTTTAAGGATGTCGAGGAAATTTGAATCGGAGCTTTTCTCTTTAGAAGTTTTTTGCTCTTTACAAGGATTTTCTAATGGATCGTCTTCACATGATGACAGTGGTCGTTTATTGCTTGAACCCGCGTCTTTGTTACTATTATCTGATGTTGAACATTCTTCTTCCTGTTCCTCATATTCCCCACTGATTTTCTCACAAATGTCTGTCATTTTTTTCTTTGTTTTACAATAAAGTTCATAATTTTCTGTAACGAACTTTGACGATACGGGTTGATTAAGATTTTCTCTCAACACATGCCAAATCATTTCATCTTCTTTGTTGATATTTGATATAGCTTGAGATTTTTCTATTTTCAATCGATCGCTGTCAGGATCATGAAGTGTGACAATAAAACCACAACGAAGAAGATAAGAATAAACTAAATACTCTTCGAGACAAACTTCGTTAGCTTCATCGAGGAAAATTGCATATGCTTGTTCAACAGACATCATAACTGTGTCAAATAAAATTGAGATTTTACCCGATTCCATTAAAAAAAGAGCTTCATGTGGCTTCAAATACTGTTCCTTGTTTTCTATGTATCCAAAGCATCCTCTTCCTGCTGGCTTCACTACTTTCACTCGTCTATTTTCAAACTCATAAACTCCTTTAGCAGTCTTATTTGATAACAAAACTCTCTCAAGACTAAGAAATTCATGTAAATTTTCAAGATATGCCTTTGTCCTTTGAGAATCCGGATCTTCACTTGGATCTGTTAATTTCGTTCCTCGAGGTAATAAAACAAATTCTTTAACTTTCTTAGTATGTTCAACAAGTTCTTCAGCACTGAAATGGGAAAAATTTAAATATAAAAGTAAATAGTTAAATATTTGCTTAGAAAGATTAATAAAGTATTTCTAACCTTAAATAATTTCCTTTCAAAGTTATTTCTTCAGAATCTTCTTCCATTTCAAAATATTTAATAAAATACTTCAAAAGATTTATTTTTGCCGGTTTAATGTTTACATCAAAGCCTCTTCCCGATTTTTACTTCCGACCCGCTCGAAATAAAATTCGAAATATAACGCACGACTATTTTGACGTAGTTTCCAAGGGGAAGCTAAGCTTGCGAAAACAAACTAAAATTTTAAATAAAATCCTTACTGATCGTTGATTACGTGCTGTAATTAAATAAAATAATTCGACACATAAATTTCAGTAATAAAATTTCATGATGATGATGATTGAAAGTCTCCGAATCAGGTAGAAAATGAAATAATTGTGTAATAATTTTGTTTGTTTATGTTTTGGTTTTTGCGGCTTGAAAAATTGACTGCAAATTAATTTTAACTGTTTGTGTTGTTAAAATTCTTATTTATTTCATTTTAGTTAAACAATATTTCCAAAGGAATAACGAAAATGGATCACCAGCAAAACTTTGAATACAACGATCCAAATTCTTTTGGATTTATGAGCACATTCGGAAATGACAATTATTTAATGTCACAACAAGGACAACCACAACATCTGAATGGAAAATCCATCATTCATTCGGCTTCTCTACCTCTTCAAAGTTTTGATCCTGGGAACACTGTTTCTCAATTTATTACTCAACCAACTCCGATGATGTTCCATCTTTCTGAGCCCATAACTCCTTCTATCAACCAAGCTCCGCTTTATCCCACATCACTTGATTATCAGCTAGATTCCACTCAATCTGAATTAAATATTAATTCTCAAAAGGATCCAATGTTCAGCAATGTTGAGAATCCTTCGCCAACTGTTCCTAATAATATCATTGAACAATCAACAACCTCAAACGATGCCATCGTTACCACTCTGCAACAAGAAGAATCGATTAGTTCTCAAGTGGAACAAGACAAACTTACAAATAAAGATGAAACATGTGTCGAGAAATCTCAGGAAAATGTTTTTAGTCCGGAACAAAACAATATGATGAAAGCCCTTGGCGTTGTTCGCAAAGAAATTTTAATAAGTGCGAGTGGATCAAAAAAGCGAAGAAGAATTTTACAACTTAACGATGAAGAGGATTCTGATGATGAAAATGAATTGAAAAAAGAATTGTTACAATCAACACCTGAGATGAAGAAAGTTGAAGATGAAGTTGATACTGAAGACAGCTCACCAGATAGTGAAAGTGATGACGATCCAGCGTTTTCAAATGATCCTGAAGCTCTTAAAGCTCGTTCGCTTCTTAAAAGTGCAGTCATCATTCAAGGACCTGCAAATAAAAAAAGAAAAAAGCGTGTGCTTGAAAGTGACGAAGAAGACGAAATTCAAACATCAATTGACGACATTGGTTTAAGTGAATCTAATGAAAATGAAAACGAAAACGAAAATGATGAGCTTTATGTCGGTGACATTGTTTTAAGTGAAACAATTGTAGAAGAAAAAGAAAACAGTAAACCTCCAAACTTAACAGACGATGGATTTGTAATACCAGCACCACCTCCACCAGTAAAGTCAGAAATAATCGAAGACAAACAACCTGAAATCAATTCTACTCCTGAAAATGAAACTTCAGTTGAAAATGTAACTTCTGTAAAGTTAGAAGATGATGCAAGTGGCACAAACACGGAAGGCAGTGAAGTTGATCCTTCCTTGAATGTTGAAGCTATTCTTGAAAACATTAAACCGATGGCAGACGATGAGTAAGATAATTAATCATTTTAAAGTTACGAAAAGTGTTAATAAATTTAATTGCAGTGAGTTCTTTAAAACTGATGATAAATCGGATGACTCTGATTGTCAATTTATCAGTAATGAAGAATATTTCGGAACACCAGACACAACGAAGCATCAGTAAGTTTAATAAATGTTTTAAATGTTTGAATTTTTGATAATAAAATTATGCTCAACAGACCAGCAGGTCGAAAACGTGGACCACGTCCTGGCTTTAAAAGAAAACAACGCCCTAGTTCTACTACACCTAGGAAGAGATCCATGAAATATGAAAAGTAAGTATAATTAAATATTTATTTCAATCAAATATCGAGAGACTAATAATTGTTCTCGTCATCCAGAGATTTTGTGGAGGGTTCAAGTGAATCTGAAGACACAACATATTCAGAATCAACAAGTGATTCAAGCGACAGTTCTTGCGAAGAAGTCAAGCCGAGAGGAAAACCAGCGATGAAGAAATCACCAATTATTGTTCAAACTAAAACTTTCTCTGTTACTCGCGTTCCTATTAAGAAGAAAATAGTGAAGCGTGATCGTTTTTATGATCGATCTCGAGATATTCCAAATGATGTTTATTTTGGTGATGTCAAAGGTGAAGAATTTTAATTTCTGTCTTCAAAATTTTCTAAACTAATTTTGAACTTTCAGTTCCACTTCATGTGCTTCACACAAGATGGGATTCCGATGTGGAATCATCAGGATCCGAGACTGAAAGTTACACTCGCAGACCTCCCAGCAAAAGTCACTTTAAAAGCATTCACAAATCAAGTAGAAGCAATTTTGGTTTTAAAGTGAAGTAAGTAAAGTTTAATAATTAAACTTTAATTAAATTATTTTTATGATTTTAAATGTTATTTCTTTTTTTCTTTTTTATCTTAGACCTTCTTATACGATCATTGAACAACAAGACGATCCAAAACTCGCAACTCTTAAAGAGTTTGTGAAAATGTCAGGAATAAAAATTAATTACACGAGACTTTTCGATTGTATACGATCAACCGATGAGAAATGTCATTTAATAAGAAGAATTCTTGCTCAGAAAGGCATGCAAGGCGAGCCGACGATTGCTAAATGTAAGCAACTGAGACTTGAACTTCAAGCGAAGAGAGAAAGTGCTGAACTTGATAAAAGTGTCATTATAAATACTGAAGGTAAGAAGTTCACTCAACATGAACTATTCTCACTCATTTATATTTATTATTTTCACTTTCAACAGGTCGGACACGAAGAGCAACAAGGAATTTAACTGCCATGTCATCGTCGTCTGAGCCTTCGACAAGTAGCGCAACAATTCAACCTGAAACATTACAAACTTTATCAAAAATTAGACGCGTCGTCGATTCAGATTCTGAGTAAGAAAATTCTCAAATGTGCAATGAAGAGTTTAATGAATATAATTAATAGAAAGAGAAATTGTAAATCATTTGTTTGTGTAAGGGACTTTTAATACTAGAATCAGAATCTTTAATTTGTTTTAAATAACAAAAGTTGGAATCAAATAGAGTTTTTTCTGATTATTACAAGAAATTATCAGAAACAAGGAGTAAAAATTGCTGAAAAAATGTTAATTAGTTTCAGTCTTTGAATTTAATTCTTCAATAATTAGGTATCGATAATCATTATTGCTTTAAACACCCCCAAATCAGCTTTTCCTTTGTAAAATATTGTAAAGTACAATTAGTTATAAAGAAACCCAAGAAATATGAATAAAGAAAAGAAATAATAAGAGAAAAAAGAAAATTTACCACCTGTTACAGTCAAATTTGTTTCGAATCATGAATCTTTTATTATTTATTAGACACGGCGACGATATCTTTAAGCAGCGTAATAATATTTATTTATTGCGTAATAAAAATAGGAGAAACGAAGTGTTAATAGCGCGGCAAGTAGGTAGTTCACTTCTCCTTATGACAATTGCTTCCCAATGTCTTTACACTCTATAAGAGAAGCATGCGACGTAGATAAATTTGAATTCTCACCCTCTTTTGAAACGACAAACTAAAACCACCCTCACCACTATGGGAAATTATAGCCATTAAGTCGGCAGAGTTAAGTTGTGCCGAATTTAAAAATTCTTTTTTAAAAAATTATCTACACTATATGTAGAATATCGTGGCAGTAATTTTTTGTTTTGGGCAATCTCCATATTTGCCCCATATGCCGTCAAAGTTGACCATGTCATGATTAAAAATGAAATAAAAATTTACTATCATTTTAATAAACTTGAAATA